AAAATAATTTAAAAAAAAGTAATAAAGAAATTAAATAAAATGGAAATTAGTATTGTATTTTTTTAAGTATGATATAAAATAATTGTTTTTATTTAATACTCACCTTTTATTTTAAAATATAATAGTATTTTAGTAATAGTTATTTATTATTTAGTTTAGAATTTTATTTTAAAAAATTAAGTTCAGTAATACTGCTATTTATTATTTTATTTTTTTATAGCTATATTTAGTGGGTCACACTATGTGCAGAGTGAGCGCTAAACCAAATCTTCAGCTGCTCTCATGAGAACCAGACTGAAAAACTTATGTGCATCCCTGTTAATGACGACTTCTCTATAAAAATATACATTGACATCAAATTGCGTGATATCAGGAGGATCCTGTGTGGTCTGCATTTAAAGGGATAGTTCGCCCAAAAATGAAAATTAGCCCATTATTTACACACCCTCAAGCCATCCTAGGCGTATATGACTTGACTTCCTTCTTTCAGATGAATCCAATCGGAGTTATATTAAAAATTTACTTTGATCTTCCAAGCTGTTTAATGGCAGTCAGCGGGTGTTGCAGTTCACCAGTCCAAAAGAAGTGAAATAAAGCGCATGCATCCATAATAAAAAGTGTCTCAAACGGCTCCAGGGGGTGAACAAAGGCCTCCTGTAGCGAATCGATGCATTTTTGTAAGAAAAATATCCATATTCAAAACTTAATAATCACTTTAATCTAGCTTGCGCCAACAGTTGTACACAGAAGCAGCTCCGGGAGGATGACGTAAGATGTCGGCATTGCGCATGCGCCGGTGAGTCTCGTGAAAACCAACGTTTGTTAACAGGAGCAAAGGAAGCAAAGTTTCCTTACTTTAGCAAAGGAAAACCAGTCTCCTCTTGGCTTATATCGAAATCCTCCGACATTCTTCTTTACAAATCCTCGTTTTGTACTTCTAATTAGTGTCACTTCTGAGCGGCGCATGTGCAACACCGACGTCTTACATCATCCGCCCAGAGCTGCTTCCGTTTACAACAGAGTGCGCAAGCTAGATTAAAGTGATTATTACGTTTTAAATATGGTTATTTTTCTTACAAAAACGCATCGAATCGCTACAGGAGGACTTTGTTCACCCCCCGGAGCCGTGTGAGACACTTATTATGGATGGGCGCTTTATTTAACTTCTTTTGGACTGATGCACTGCAACACCCGCTGACTGCCATTAAACAGCTTGGAAGATCAAAGATAATTTTTTATATAACTCCGACTGGATTCGTCTGAAAGAAGAAAGTCATATACACCTCGGTTGTATACTGTGTGTGAGCCAAGAGATGGTTGAATATCTTTTCTAAATGCACACATTTTCACTGCTACATTCTCATTTCATGCCTAGACTGTTCACCGCTCTCTTTCTCTCCTTCAGTTTATCTCTCTCACACACATAAAGAAAGCTAACTACTGTAACCTTATTTCATTCCCTGGCTGATAAGTTTTAAAGTTAATATTTCTACACATTATTCAGAAAAGAAAATCACATTTTCCTGTATGAGAGACACTTCCTGGTTTGTGTGTTATGATAAGTTTCCGCATTTTAATTAGTTTTTAAAACATCTTTTATTTCTTGAAAACACGAACTAGCTGAAAAATATTGCAACTTTGTTTTGTTTGGTGTTTTTGTTGAATGTTAATGAGGTTTTGGATAAGGTTAATGTGAAGACTGGATGTTTTGTGATACTAATGAAGATTTTAATTGATAGATAAAAGACCATGTGAATCCAAAATGAGAAAATGATGGTGTGTAGTCAATGTCTAATAGCTTTAAAGCGGTATGTATGTGTTTAAAGTGTTGATAAAATTCACTTTTATCTTTTACACATTTAAAACTGGACCAAAATATTGATTATCTTTGTTGACAGGACTTTCACATTTTGTTCTACAAGTAATGTTCACCACAGACCTTGTTTTTATGTTATAAATCCAAATCCGCTTTTGTAAAAAGCCATTAGAAATGGCAAATGGCTAGAAAATGCTATTTCTCTTATGGATTTTTGGACAAATTTAAAATAAAATAAAAGCCTTTCAATATGTCTTGCCATAACTTCCTGTTTCAATTGGATGCATGTCACCACAGGAAAAAGAATTGCATATATTAAACCATCTTATGGGGTCTTAATTAAATAAGGGCCCAAGATACATGTAGACATGAGTCAGATTTTAAAAAATGTAAGCTGTGCTCTTGAAAATGTAGGTGAGATTTATGATACCTGTTTTAAATATTGTCCACCTGCAGAATGACAACTTGATCTGCAAGTATGAAGCATCCAGCAAGCAGATAGTCTGTTCTTATTCCTCTAAATAAATAACCATGTCAGAGTGAGTGAGAGGGTAAAACACACAGAAAGAACTTGCAGGCAAGAGCAGAGAAAGATAACATGCAGGAAATTGAGAAAGGATGACAGCTCTGTGTGAGCCAAGAGATGCTCGAGATCTATTTCTGCAGTTCTCTTAACCTTTGCACAGGTCTTAAAGTCAGATATCTTAAATTCACACTATGAACAGAACAGGGAGGGTAGAGCAATTATGCACACTTTAAATTACTATCACATTATAGCTCATTGTATTATATGAGCTCTTCAAACAACCCCAGACCATATCAAGCAATGGTCAGTTTGTTATCCACAGTGTGATTTGCATAGATATTATTGTCCATTATGAATACAGTGAACTTCATTTGTGATGCACTTGCATAATTACTAACCTTTTTGACCATTACAGGTTACCAAGTCCAGAAAATATGACTGCATTATTGCAGATTTGGAATGAGGAGTATATAAAAAAAATCTCAACTAGGTCATCCTCCTCTATGAAAGGGTTTAACCAGATTGCTTTACTATAAAATGATTTGTGAACGTGAAGAATTTGAGACATATTGTTGCAAATTAGTATTATTAAAAGGAAATAATGATAACGAGGCATTTTATTAATTATAATAAATACTGTAGTATTTAGGTGAGCTGGATTCCAAAAAAAGGTTATTTTATTTTATTATGATTCATGCAATAAAAAAAATATACTTAATATTCTATTTAAAATATATACATAATATTTATAATATTATTTAAATTGTTTATATTTTTATTATTACTGTCATTGCTATTATTGTTTAAAATGTTCATATTTATATTTTTGTTCATATTTAGTATTATTAGTATTATTATTTTTACAAAGCCATTTGTTTTCAAGCTCAACATGGACTTCTTCATGTGTATTAAACTGACATAAGCAAAATAAACAATTAAATTATTAATCACAATTATTTGTATTACAGTTAATCACCAGCCACGTTTTACAGCCTTAACAGCTCTAGTGGAGGAAGAGAGAAGTGCAGTACAGACAAAGCTGCTACTTCTGCTAACAGACGGACAAACAGATGGAGAAGTGTTTTAAAGCTATGTGTGTGTGTGTTTGAGTTGACTCTGAGTCACTGTACTGCCCATCCAGGAAATGAGCGCCTCTCTGTTCTGCTGCACTAAGGCCTACATTACGCCTCTCTGTCTGTCTGTCTCTGTCTTACACACACACACACACACACACACACACACACACACACACACACACGCTATGTG